CCACTTTGGATAGGGTTTACTGTCTAGTATACTCACTACTTACTGTCTACAGCTGATGGGGTAGCTAGATAGTAAAACTATACCATATAAACAGTTTATAGACAGTAAATAGACTATAACGTTGGAGCCTTAAATTCTAATCATATCTTGTAATTACGATTATGGGCAGCCATCTATTTAATGGTATTTTTGCATATTATTATGATTATATTTGAATATACTCTATAGTTTGTTCAACACTAATGTCATGCCGGTGGCGCCGAAAGTCAAACTGAAGGGGAAGACAAAACATGAAAAAACATATCGACGGACTTATTATTGCGTTAACGGAGAATCGAACTCCGGGCGGGTCGACAATTGATGAATATATGAATGGCAACGACCCAGGTTACCACTACCCCAATTTCAACGGGGCCACCACAGTCGTAAAAGTTTGGCTGGTTGTAGGAGTGGAAGGTGAAGATAACAGCGAGTAATTCCGGGAAAAGGCGTTCCACCAGTTGGTTTGCATCCTTCCGCCTTCGTGTCGCAATGGTACGGCCTTACATTCAGCTTACAATCTCATTACAAGCCCTTAAAGCAACCCCGGGGGTCATACACATGCCTCTTTAGCTTTCCGAGGATAAATGTAGGTTATCCCGAAATTGTAGCTTATATAGAACTTGTAGCATGGTACAATGACATTGTACCGGCATACAAGTTCCACGCACTTTTGCTGATGTTGTTTGTTCGTGTTAGGATCGAAGGCCGTTGGCGTCGTGCCTGGGGATTTGTCCATTCGAAATTTCGACTCGGTCCTCTTCCTCCTCTAACAGGCTCGCGCGTTCATCCACCTCCCTGGAAAACCGAATATATGATGCGCAGCACTCCCCACCATCTTCCTCAATGTAACCACTGTTTCCGACCCGACGCAGCGAAAACCGAGTTGACGCTCTCGCCCGTCCAAGCCCCTCCTCTCTCCTCCGTCCACCACCTCCTCTCGAGACTCAAACGCTCTACATCAATCAGTGACAAAATGAACAAATTTTTCGAGACGAATCTCGACTCCTGCTCCCGACTGTTCGATGGTCAGATAACAACGGAAGACTTTGCAGGCGACGCAAACAGCAGGATCTTCGTGCGTGTTCTTCGAGATTGACCTGAGCTATCCTTGATTCCGAGCCCACAGACAAACTTCATCTCAGTGACTTCTCTTTGAGAGCCCTCCGCTCACCTGTTTTGGCAACACCTTCGACATCGGCGGTCCCGTTTGCATCTCGCTCTCCCCGCCAACACCCCCGCCTCCGTCCCATTTCTTACGCCGTTGAGCCCACAAGCGAGCCTTCCTTCGGTGACATGATCCCTGCCACCACCTACGAGCACCTGGACCCCGACTCTGGCTCCCTTCATCATGCCCTCCCAACTCGCAACTCTTCGTCACAATACTAGATATGGTCACTCCAGTCCGTCTTCTCTGGACTCCCTTATTCTCACTATCGCTTACGCTTTCTCTAAGCCTTCCCTCCTGAGCCGCTCGCACGGAAAACAGCCACGCCGTTACCGACGAAATGAAGTGCGCGTTCGGCCACGATCGACGTCGCATTTTTACACGCGGAAAGCGATCTGGTCCATGTCCAAGGTGCGCTATCCATCTCGGCTTATTTTCCTTCCGCGTCTTGACCTACCTTTCCCCTGGTTGTAGTCCATCAAGAACACCAATCGGCTCGCGAGCCTCGCGATTTCGCCCTCCATCCAACTACGCACCAAGAACGTCGCGAACGATCCGCTTTCCCCCCTGTCAAACCACGCCTGGCACAACCTGGCTAAAAGCTATCTCCGACCTTCGACAAAGCCCAAGCCTGTCATCTACTACTCTCCAACCAGCCAGGACCGTGCCGCACCTCTCCTTGAGACACTGTCAGCATATATTCCCCCCTTGCTTCTATTCACTCGTCTGCCCAAAGGCCACTGAGTGCCCCTCGCGCGTACGGTCAGTGGCGACAAGGCTCGTTTGAAACGTGCGTGAACTAGCCTGCTCTCGCGTTGGCGCGTTGACTGACCGCACCCCACGTTCTAGGATGAACCTGGAGACCGAGCAGAGCGATGGACAGTTTGTCTGCGAGCACGACCTGCTCTCAGCGCTCTGGTACGCATTCCTTCTCCTTCTCCTCCTCATCCGTCTCCACCTCCTCTTATGCGTCTTCTTGTCGTCGCTTGACAGCCCCGTCCAACACGCGTGCCTCCTTGTCACCCTGCAATCCGAAATATATATGCCCTGCCACGAGCGTGTCAGAAACGGTGACTTGCCACCACGCCGTCATCGCGATATCTTTGCATCGCGCGCGCGTCTCCAACGTCCACAACACGGATAGGCCAGAGAATCTCGAGAACCACAACGCGCGCGCCGGCGTGCATGGTCCATGACCGAGGTGCGTATGTGCGTTTTGTTCAGGATCAGAAGCTGGTGGCTGATGGGAGACGGTCAGACGATCAGTCTAGGGAAGTGGCGTGCCAGGCCTTTCGATCCTTCTTGAAGGAAGACGGGGATGTATGCAGTTCGGAGTTTGGCGAGGGCACTTTGGAGTCGCTCGAGGCCTTCCGGAGAAATGGGGGAGGGTGTGCAGGTGGCTCGGGCTACTCTGGCGAGTCCATTACCAGCGGTGGTGGGGAATCGGGATGGGAGTTGTTAAAATTTGTGGGCCTTTCTAACGACTTCATGAGCGTGGCTATTAGGAGGCGTGCGGGTATGCGATGAATACGATCGAACATGAACAAGTCGTGCATCCAGGTTTTGAAAGCGAGGGCGTAAACGCGTTCAAACATGAGATAAGGTCAAACAACAAGAGAATAATAACAGCTTTGAGCGTACACGCAGCCGGCACCAGAACATGAGCATCCCACCCTACTGCTTGAGCTTGCGTCCGATCGACAGTACCACCTCCCTTTCCCCGGGCTTCCCGACACCGACGATCATGCACAGGTCCGCATACACGATCTCCAATTGCGCCTCGTTCCCATACGCGATCGTGGCGCTCTTGTGGCGGGTCGAGGAGGACCACGGGGTGACCCAGCTGACGTCGCGCGCCCGATCAAATTTGGAGGAGGACTGCACTCTGGAGTAGATGTTTTTGCCCTTGGTGTACTTCAACGCGCCCGCAAGGCCCTCGTCCAGCACAAAGTTTTCCAGGTTCGGTACTTGGGAGACGAGGACGAGCACTGTCTCTTCATCCTCGTCCTCGTCCTCGTCCTCGTCTTCGTCTTCTTCTTCCTGATTGCTGCCGCCATAGCCATCAGTGGGGAACTCCTCATCTTCGTAGACAAGGCGAAACTTGGGCTTCAAGGAGGCCTTGCGGAGGCTGCGGTACAGCACCGCATCGCTGCCCTTGAGGAGCCGGTGGACGTGGTCGAACGTCTTCTCGATTGGGTAAACATGGCGGAGTCCGAAGCCGAGGCACCCGCCCTGGGGGAGGAAGGTGGTATCTTGGAGCAGGGAGCCAAGGACAGATGTGAACGGGTGCTCGGTGGTAGGTCGGATGGGCTTGGGGACAGCGGGTGGCGAAGGCTGGTCGGCGGGTTTGATGTCGTCGTAATAGAGGTTGTAGGTGAGGGTGACCCTGTACCCGGCCTCGACGCGGGAAACCTCGTGCTCGACATCGCTGAAGAAGGCGATATAGCCGAGGACAGAGGCTGGCGCGGACGCCACGGCTCGGGCCGAGTCGAACGTCCACTCTTCATTCTGATGGCGCAGGATGAGGGTCCCTCCCGAGTGGGGTGTTGGGTAGACGAGGACGAGGGATCCGAACATGTTCGTGGCGCGCGGGGTATCCTTGTGTGACTTGAAGAAAGAGCCTTCGCCTGGACGCTCTAATGAGAACAGGTTATGCAGTCAATAATGAGGGAACGCACCATACACGTTCAGCTTATACAGTTCGACGCCGATGGGCCGTGCCGAGTCGGCACCTTCAAGGAGTTCATCGCGGATGAGGTCGACTATCTTGGTGCGTCGGACGTCGAAGGGCGTGGCGAAATCTATGAGGTCGAGCTTCCCGGCCTTGCGGTAGGTCTCGTCGACGACGTCTTCGTTGTTGCGCCCGAACGACGCGGTGTCGCAGGTGTCCGATAGAGTGCGCAAGTCCTCGGCGGAGGCGTTCGCCATATTGAGACGGCTAGAGCTTTGGTTCAGACGGAAGGGAAAGAGCGAAGGGGACGACGTACTGTGCGCTCGAGCCTTTCCCGAAGAACAACGTGAACGACTCCGCTGGCTGGCGCAACGTGCCGCTGATGGACGGTGGCCTGTTGACGATCGCATTTTCGAGGCGAGAGAGCGCCTGGTCTGTTGGATCCTCGGAATCGGTATCTGTGGCAGCGTCGTCAGTGTCTGTGGCGGCGTCGGGATCGTATTCAATGAAGGTGGCCATGAGGGGGTCGCAGAAGAGGGTACAGGGTAGTCCGGCGTAGAAAAATTTCACCTATTAATATGTCTTCGTGCACCACAGATAGTCTGAAATGCAATCAAGATGGGTCCCAGGCGAGTCACCGATGAGGGATGATAGGACTTGGGAAACCTGATGACGGGTTCGTCAAGTGAGGCCGGTGTGTGTGCTGGAGGGGAACGTGGGGAGACATGAGGACGCGTCGATTGGCGAGGAATCATGTCCTGCAACGTGGACTTCGTGGGATCGAGTCGAGAGCAACATGAGGGGCGCCGTCGGTGACGCCGACGTTGTAGCTTGACGTCGGGGCCAGCGTCGCGTTACGTCGGGCGCCGCGCGGTTGTTTGGTCTTGTTAAGATCCAACGCTATCGCCTTCGTGCCTGCCAGATGTTTGCGCAGTGGTGCTGCCGCTCATGTACATACCGCACACTGTATAGCATAGAACACAGCACGATTTACCCGCGATATGCATGTAGGTCTCGTACGGTAAGGCTTGTGTCACGGAGAAAGAAGAGTAAGTATCGCCAGCGAACAAGTAGCATCAAGCTCTGTTAAACCGGTTCAACAAGTACACAGGTAGAGCGTAGCTGTACTAGGTACGTAAGGTTGGAGAAAAAGTGCGTGTATCAGATCAGAAGTGGGCACGCGTGTACCGACGACGGCGACGATACACGGGGACATACTCACGCTTCTCTTCTTCATCCTCACTTCCATCGTCGTCTCCGCAAGCTGATCCAGCGGAATAAGGTACAGGAGAAAAAGTCGCAGCCAAAGACGGCTTTACCAGGAACTCGGATGTCGAGGAAGTTTTGGGTGCGTTGTCCCCGTCGCTGGTCGAATCAGAGGAGTCGGATTTCGATGCGAGGTTGGAGACAGGCGGTCCAGGGAACGTGTAGCTCATCCCGGGATTGTAGAACTGGTGACACGTTTAGTGTGGAGGCTGTAGCAGAGTACCAAGAACACGCACAATCGAATCTGGGCCGTAGATTCCCGGGTC